CAGTTTGAGGATGTTGCCCCTTTTTACGGGGGAGTGGCTGATGTTGAGGGTACGTCCACTTCGCATGTTCGTAATTTTGGCGAAGGGACAAGCTCAACAGTTAGAGAATGCGATAATGAGGGTGATGATGATTTCGTTCGCGGTGAAGACGATTTCACAGATGATACCTCGGAAACGGAAACAGATAGATCAATAAACGAGGAGAGTGAACCAGAATTTATTGAAGAACACCCATTTCCTAGTACCGGTCAGCACGTGTATCGCGAGATGGGTGAGTGGGACCCGTCGTGTGTAGACCGTGATGAGTATGCCTTGCCAGTGTGGGATGGGCATGTCGATACTATCCGTTTGGGTACTGTTTTCCGGTCCAAGAAAGATGCACAGATGGCTATCATGAATTGGAACGTTAGTAGGTTGAGGGACATTAAGACAACATATTCGAATAAGAAAACATTCAAGGTGGTGTGCACATCTAACGAAGATGAACCTTGTCCGTGGATGGCTCGGGTGACGCAATGCACACGGGTTCATGAAATGTGGGAAGTAAGAGAATGGTCTGAGAGGCACAGTTGTATGCAAGAAGTCGAAAAAAATGACCATAGAAATGTAACCGCCACAATGATTTCACATCTTGTCATGACCAAGATTCAAAAGAAACCCGACTACAGTGTTACCCTGATCCAGGAGGATGTTAAGAAATGTTGGAAAGTCGATGTGAGCTACAAGAAGGCATGGCACGGGAGGAAAAAGGCCATCGATCGTTTGTATGGCACTTGGGAATCGAACTTCGCACAACTCCCTCAGTAAGAAAAGCGCTTATTAAAAATGTACGTGTTATTTGTCACTATGTTTATGTATTGACGATTACGTTTTGTAACGTGCAGGTTTTTTGCGGCGCTTCAAAGTGCGAATCCCACTACGGTTGTAGAGTGGGAATGGCAAGGTGGGGAAATGGCGGCCCACTATCAGCACAGAGAATTCAAATTTGTTTTCTGGGCGTTTGGTCCCGCCATTCCGACCTTTCAGAGATGCCCGCCGGTAATTAGTATGGACGGCACACATTTGCGTGGCTCGTACAAGGGGAAGTTGCTCGTGACCGTTGCACAGACTGCGAATAAGCGGCTATTGCCAATTGCCTATGCGATTGTCGATGAAGAGAGCCAGGAAAGCTGGTCATTTTTCCTGACAAATCTCCAGCAACATGTTGTCGGCGACAGACAGATATGCTTTCTTTCGGACAGGGATGCGGGCTTACAGAGTGCCGTGGAATCATTGGAAGCTTGGCAAGAACCCGCTGCATATCACCGGATTTGTCTTCGACACCTTCGGAGCAACGTGGTTACTAGGTACAGGAATAACAAAATTCGAAATTGGTGTTGGCAGTTGGGTTCACAGGTTTCAGAGAAAAAATTTGAACAGATACGATCGCGGCTTTTGGATTGTAATCCGGACGCATACGAGTACCTGTTCAGAATTCCTCTAGACAAGTGGACCCTGTTTGGAGACGGTAGACATAGATGGGGTACTTTGACAACTAACATGTCCGAGAGTTACAACAACGTCCTGAAAGGTGTTAGGTTCTTGCCATGCCGAGCTTTGGTACACGCCACATTCATGAAAACTCTGGACTTGTTTGAGCAGGAACAAAAGAAGTCCACGAGATGCAGTAATGCCATTGCTAGTGTCCACTATGCCACTTATTGCGAATTGGAGAGTACGGCCGCAACTCATACGGTGCGATGTTCGAACGCGGAGAGATCCCTGTACAAGGTGACAACCGGTCTACGGGCTGATGGTAGAGGCGACAAAAGGTATACGGTTTATTTATTTATTGTATAATTTTTTTTTTTATTTTGGTTCATTCAAATTTTTAGTTGTTTATAAAATATAATTAAATGTGGAAAAACAGGTATAAGGTTTCGTACAACCGAATGCGTTGTAGTTGTCAGAAGTGGCAGACACACAGGAAACCGTGCTCTCATGCTATAGCTGTGTGTCGTCAAATAAAAGGTCAACCAAGAACCTTGTACGATCCCCACTTTTGGACGGAGAATTGGGTGGCTCAATTTTCTAATTGGAGTTTTGCTCCGATTGGTGATCCGGACACATGGCCGATGGTCGGATGGACCTTACTACCACATTGGGAGAGGATTATCACGAAGGCTGGACCCGGTCGCGCGCAAACGAAGCGTCATCGCATGCAAATGGATCGTCGGGCACGTCGCCGGGCTGATAGAGGACAGTGTAGTAGATGTGGTAATCCACAGCATTTTGTGGATGACTGTCCGTCCTCGCATCCTCGCACTGATAGATCTAGAGTTCGTGATGAGTGGGATAACTAAATTTGTTAGTGCTTAAATTTTTTTTATGTTGGACTATTTTTTTTATTGTTTACTTTGATTTGTTAGACTATGTTTGGATGATATATTTTTTTTATGTTGGATTGCATATGAGTTTATTTTTTTTATGTATTTTGGTGTAGTTGGTTGTTCTGAATATTTGTAACAGGTTTTAAATGCTGAAACAATTGAAAGAACAAGTTTTTTTTATATATATAACAGCTAAAAACGTATTCAGCAAATACGTTTTAAAAATAATACATATTTAAAAACGTATTTGCTGAATACGTTTTTAAGAAATCAAATTTTTTTATAAACCGTATTCACGGAATACGGTTTTCAAATAATTCGAGTTATAAAACGTATTTAGCGAATACGTTTTTGTAAGAGTAAAAAAAAGGTAGGAGGATCCCAGATTCGGGACTCGAACCCGGGTGGGCGAATCCGTTATCTCTGGGCGCACCTCGTTACCATTGGGCCGCACTAGGCTATCGCTGAAAGTTTTGCACAACTTTTGTTGTTATATAGTATATAATATATTGTATATAGTATATAGTTATAGTATATAACATATAGTTTATAGTTTATAGTTTATATCTTATATCTTAAATGTTATAGTTTATATCTTATATCTTAAATGTTATAGTATATAACATATAGTTTATAGTTTATAGTTTATAGTTTATAGTTTATATCTTATATCTTATAGTTTATATCTTATATCTTATATGTTAAATGTTGCAATTTACATATTATATCTTATAGTTTATATATTATATAGTATATGTTAAAATATGTTATAGAATATTATACTATATGTTTTATATCTTATATCTTATATCTTATATCTTATATC